AAATTGAAGAATTTCACAGCAAGGCTGCAAGCTGCAAACTTCTCTGAGTCTCAAGAGGTCCATTCAAGAGTTGTCTGTATTCTAAAGATACAAGTTTTTCAAAAAACCTGTCTTCCCTCAAGCTCTAAGCACATAGTGTTGTTTGGCTGTACATAACAGCATACAGACACTCCCTGAAAGCCACTTGATAAGACAGTTATAAGAATGCATAGGAAGTAATCATGAAGGTGCTTGAAAGCCACTTGATAAGACAGTTACAGAATGCATAGGAAGTAATCATGAAGGTGCATGCTTTTCATTCACATATTCACTACTAATCTCATGGTTAACAGCATCAGCCATTTTATCATTTTCAAATAAAGAAGTGTGATATATTTTCATGTTTGTTAAGTTCAAACTTTAGACTAGACATTTATGCAAAAGAGAATAATAACTGGTCAATCGCACTAGAAAATTCTGCTTATGAAAATAACCATTTAAAAGAAAAATCAAATTGGTCAATAGATACAAGCTCAACTTAGAACCTGATCTGCAAACACCTGTATACTTCAACAAAATACATAAAATAAAGTTGTCTTTAGTGATCATATTATTGGGTAACAGTTGCCATTGCAAGAATTCTTGCGCCACTAAAAAAGTACCGCAGAACAGTTTTGTGCTCTTCAGCTCTGTCACTACTCACTTGGCTAGGTGTGCCCTTGTTTAAGTGCAGTGTGGGTGCAGCTTCTCCCAGGAGAGATTTGAGCGGCTTCACCTCAGGTGTGCTGCTTGTACTACTAGCAGAAGACCCCGATATGGATGCATGGACTGATGCCACCACCTTTGCTTGCTCTGGAGGTACATACCTACATTCAAAAAGAGCAATGGTTTTTACAACTTGAACATGAAAACTTCTGCTCAACATTCATAAGACTCAAGCATGAGAACTGGTAGATCTCAGCATTCCTATTTTAACCACTGACCCTGCAACAAGTTCTATCAGTAGTTTGCAAAATACACATAATTTAAATATGCAGATATTTTTTTAAAAAGGGGTAGAATTCCAAGTCATCAATATTTTATAGCCTTGCAAAATACACATAATTTAAATATGCCAGATATTTTTTTTAAAAGGGATAGAATTCCAAGTCATCAATATTTTATAGCACTTGTTTTAAACAAACCACGTGTCTTCCACCTCCTAATAAAAGCCTGCAAAACCCTTACTTTACTGTTGTTGACACCCCCTTAAGGCATTTCCATTCCATCAATATGAACTACACACCGAGAAACTCCTTGAAATAGTTTGTCTTCTCTGCTTGCTGTAGGAACTCTGAATAAAGTCCAGAAATCATTTCACTTTACAGAGCTGTGTGATCTAGTCCAGAGAGCACACAAGAAGGAAAGCATACTCAAGAACATGAGGATAAAAGTCCATCTTCACTGCTTGTCATAGAGGCAATCTTTGTAATTGTAAAGCCATCTTACCATCTTTTCTTTTCATATTTTTCCTGTAAAAATTCCTTTACTTTCTGTGGATCCCTGAAGTCTGGAATTGCTGATGATCTATCATCAAATAGGCCTAGCCAAATCTGTTTGCACACCTTGTAAAAAAAACAATCACAGATTAATCAGAGAAAATATGTTAATTCAAAACCTATTTAAGTTTGCAATTGTTAATACACCAAACCATTAAAAAGCACGTGGTTGCACATTTTTTGTTTCAGCCTGAGCTGGTTTCACAATGGACTGGTGCTCCATGTACGGGTCTAAATACTTAAAGTTGAAAGACCATCTGTCACACCAGGGCAAGCAAATCCTAGCATGCAACTTCACCATCAAATACTGTTTTTACAAAATATTTGTAGCATGTAGTCATGAAGGGGCAAAGCACCTGATTTCTACTTGTGATCTTTAAGCCTCTTCTCCTTCACCTAATTCTACACATTCCTTTACCTGTACTTCAGGGTTTAAACCGTTTCAACGGATTTCATATTCCAGACGCCCCAGATGGTAGCTTTTAAAGGATCAGAGGTTTAGTATTTATACTTACAATTACTATTTGAGTATAGGAATTTTTAAAAACAGCCGTTCTTACAGGGGATTCATACAGTTTCTATGGTATCATACACGTTTAATTTGAGTGAGGGTATGGGAGAAGAGGGGAGAGTACTCTTGCTCTGCAATTTTCTAATTGTAGTTGCGAGCGAGCAGAAGTTGAACCAATTGCGAAGTTCTAAGCACATTCAGCTTCAATTCCTGACCGAAACAAGAGGAAAGGTGAATGTTCTCAACCTAAACAAGACACAGGAGTTGTCACACTCAAAACTTAAGCATTTTCTTTAAGCACTTAAGACTACTCTGCAAGTAACCTGAATACACACCCAAACAGTATACCGAACATTAGCTGCCCTCTAAAAACAGAATGTGCCATTTTAGAACAGGCTTCTTCCAGAGAAGAGGAGTCAAGAGAGCTTTGTTTTTGTGATGTATACACTTGCCTCCCACACCCTTTCTGAAATAATCCTGACCATCCCTCCTACAAGCATTGCCCTCTATCCGTGCAAGAGTGTCGGGTTTTCAGAACTGTCCCCCACGACCTTCAGAGAAAGCACGTGCTCTAACAAGCAGGAGCTGCATAAACTGATTGCTCTGAAAGTTTGGCAAATAAAAGTAGAAGCTGTGATACTTCCACTACATAATCCTCCCCAGAGAGGCACTTATTGGGGGGCATTTCTTCCTCCTTACCTTGCCAGCTAACTTTACCAAAATTATAGCAACTTAGCATCTTTGGGAGTGCTATTTATCAACTGTGATAGATCTTACAGGTCATTTCAAAGACTGCTCAGGATAAAACAGATTAGACAGACAGCATAAATATGTAATTCATACTTGATGTCTCAATTTTATATAGCCTGCTTGCACATCCAACGCTCCACAGTTCTTATTGTCATCTACTGGACAGAGACAAACAATAACAATGGGAAACAGATCTAATGATCAAAGGATAGCTCTAAATTAGCAATTTAAATGCTCGTCTAAAAATAAGATCAGCAGCTCCTACTTCAAATAAAGTCAGCTATTCAGCATTTACTCAGCAACTGTACTCCACAAAAGGGTTAAGTTCAATGCACTGATTTGAGTTAGTAAATTTAAACAGTCATTGTTTGCAGTATGGCAGTAGATGAAACTGAAGGTATTTAATACTTCATAGTATATATCTTCCAGTATTGAGAGGACCATCAGGAAACACTGAATAAAAAAAAAAGTTGTGCCTAATTTCAGACAAGCAGAAAAACAAGGGTTGGAACAGCCCCTACTTGATCCCACACCTAGCAGAGTAACACTCAGGGCTGTACCAAGAATATCAGTTTTCATCCAGCCTGAACTGTACCAGTGAATGAAGGAGGTCCTTCTCCCCACCCACATCAGGCCATTAAATTACTCCCCCTTCGCCTACCACCCAAAGCAAGTCACAAAGAAACTCATCACAATTGGCGTGTCACTAGTACCATTAAAACCCATACTGAGGTCATCTCACAGCAGTTGTCAAACCACAATCCAGTTTTTAACCTTTCTCCCTCCCAGTTTTCTGCTTCATCTTCACCCTCAAGTGCCTAAGCATTCAGAGGAAGGGGGAAAGAAAAAACCCCACACCCAACTCCATGTCAGTCTCAAACCATCCTGACCACTACAGGCAATTTCTAGGAGAAATCAGAAAACAAGGTCCTGTGTGACTTTAGATCATCTACCAGCTACACAGCTATTGCTGTTCCAAACACTGTTGGTTTAAAGCAATGCAAGCTTCTGAAAGGCATACGTTCCTGCATTGCAATTTTCGCAAACCTTCAGAAAGCAGGCTTCCAAAAGCATTTCCTGGAACAACTAATTTCTCCTAATACTTAACACAAAAGCAGTAACAACTGAAATATGCCTTAAGTCACTGTTATAACGTATTTAATTAAACCTGCCAGGCACTCTTTATTGGTTCTCTGTTACTGGTAGCAGAGAGAACAGCATTACTAACGGGCAACACACAACCACCAAGCAAAATAACCTCGACTCAGCCACACATGCTTCAGCAAGAAGTTATCATTTTAAGAGAGTTTGACAACAGTAGCTACACAAATACAAGTTAAAACATTTACTTTACCACACAAGAGATGCAAATTCAATTTCACATAAGTTTCTTTACCTAAAGAGTTCTCAGATAAAGTGCAATTTCTTAGAAGTCTTAAATGTAGACAAGTCCTTTAGAAAGCCAAATGTTAAAGCTTTAATACCACACAAGAAACTATTAAAAGGCACCATTTTGTCTATTTCTGTATGAAATACCACACAACGCTTTGAACATCAGCAGCCATTCCAAGCAAGCATTCAGAACACAATAAAAGGCCTGTTGTCTTCCCTTGTTTGCTGTGACCTGTATGCTCTTTCTAGCTCTACTTTTGTTATTATCATCTGACTTGACAGTGATCCACAATACGGCATTGATTACGCTTCAAGTGAGCCATAATAGACAATTTTTCAGCTATCTAAAAAAAAAATACCAGTGCACTGTGCAATACCATAGGATGAAATCCAAATTAGAATTAAAAATAAAAAATATTGTTGGAGACAGAACTTGCAACATCATACAATTGGTTTTTGAAATAGTTACCTTTCCATAGTCTTAAAATAAGTCACTAACAGTAGTGAATCTTGTGCAAAGAAAAGTTTGCTGTGAGAAATGTGAATATTTTTACTGATCTGGCCACCATCACATTTTGCATTTCAAAGCTATTTAAAATTTACTCTTATGACAAAGATCAAGGAAATTTATGCCATACAAGTTGCTGGTGAATTATGTTGGTGAATGATCACTCAGAATTTACATCTTTGGTACCCTGATTGTTCCCCACTAACCACAGCTTTTAAATCCTCTATCTGAATTTGACAGCATTTGAGATACTAAAAGATAAATGCTAACAAAAAAAATTATAGTGTAAAGATAGAAAAATCAGATTGTCAACGCTAGTTGCCAATACTTCAGCATAAGTTTCAGCTCTATGTTCTGTCTGGCCTGACAGCTGCCTTGGCAGGACACCTGAACAAATGAGCACACAGTTACTCACAGCATGTGCTGACTCTTCCCCAGCCATTACTTGCAGGACATAGCAAAAAAAAAAAAATGCCCTTTACTGCCTTTTTGCACATTAATCTGCACAAAACCAAGCTTTAAGCAACCAGTTGCTCTATGAAGCATTAAGTTTTCTTCTTAGTTTTCTAACACAAATTTACCATTTGAGAAGGAAAAAACAGGGAAGTTATTTTCAGAACAAGCAAAAATTCAGAACAATATATGCTTTGATAAATTTGAATTTAATATCCCAAAGAGCACATATTTCAAGACACCTCTCTAACTACTCCATACACAGATCAGACTTGCAGAGCTGATTCAGAAAATGCTACTGCCCAAGTTTCATGATACACCTTAAGCTTCATTTTAACAGAATTACTGACTGCTTTGCTTTCATAGATAATACATGAAGAAACATCCCAACTCACCACAAAATTACACAATATTACCATTAAGGTACTGGGCCTAAAAATTCTATGGCTTTCTGAAATCCTACATCGCACCATTTCCTTGGGGATATTCTCGTTCAGCCATTTAATACTGTTCTTTCTGCAATAGCAGCACAAATAAGCCTCTGCTCAAAAGCTCTGTTCATTCACCAAAAGCCTTGCTATACTCCTACTCTTGATAACCAAAGCTCTATTAAACAAAACGCTCTGCTTAGAGGAGAAGAGCTTGGCAAGCTAAAGCCAAGAGTAAACATTCAAGTTATGTGGAAGCTCCTAGAAACAGTGGAACATATCCAATAATCCATAATCATTGTCCACTGTCCCTGAAAAGTATAATTAGTCCATGTCCCACTGGTTCACCAATGCAGCAAGAAGAAAAAAAGACAGCACTGAAGTCAGAACAATTAAGCATATGCAGCATTTGAAAGTCTGCTTGATAAAAGCAAGACTTTGAAGTTCCGCTCTACTCCTCTACTACATTGTGGGAGCTGCAAAGGAACATGACAAAGCTTCATCTTGTCAGGTAACAATAAGTAGAAAACAAGATTCAGCAGCTACCTTCACAAAATGTAAAAGTTCATGAGAATCCTTTTACAACTGGTTTGGGAAGAACAGTACTTGCTCTCTGCCAACAAGCCCCTATCCTGCAAGGGATGTCATTAGACATTTGGCAACTAGATACTGGGAAGTTCAGAATTAGATCAGTAAGTACAGCATGAAGCAAAGAGGGAAAGA